CCCCTACAAATATCCAAATCATCCTGTTACAGTGCGATTAGCATACACATGCTGACGTGTTCCTGGATTGCTTAGTCTGGCAGAGTTAATTTAACTTCTGCTTTGCAACTTCAGTGTTATCAGAAATTCTGTAGGATCTTTAGTATTTTTGAGCTTTCCATTTTGGTTTTTTTAACATACGCAGCTTCCTCCTCTGTCCCCAAAACTTATCAGAAAACAGGGAAAGTGACAGTTTATGAAAATGATAGATAATAGATTGCGACATACCTCTCTAGTCACATTTCTAACCATTTGATTAACCAAATAGGAGCCATCTGGACCCAACTTGTCCCTCAAAATTTATATTTTATCATGTATTTGCCATTTTTCCCGTGTATGGCTCAAAATCTGTGACTGACTCAACCTGAACTCTAGGAAGTGAATTCTCATGAAGTGGGACTGAGGCATACCCAGCTCTTGCTCAGATGGGGAAAGAAGCCATTGTCCCCAAGAAGTTTTAGTGGAACTTAAGGGAACTGACCTTCCTACCCACGGGTCCTTGTTTACAAGGACTTGCCTGGGACACTTGTTCTAGTAATTCTGTGTTTCAAGGGAAAATGATCTCAGGACGTAGAAACTGTGAAAAATTCCAGCGTCCCCACAACGATTCTCGGCCTTCCGCATCCCTACTTTTTTGACCTCACAAAATATAAACAAAACAGAAACCCACAAGCTCTGATCTGCCAGCAACCACTAAGATCAGGTATCTTGGGTTGGAAACCCCATGACTTCCTGCAGCCCGATTCGGGCGTCGGTTATTTGCTCCCAGTAGTTTACCCACCGAGCAGTTTACGTTTGACGTCTTCGGAGGCCCGGCTTCTTGGGCGTCTGCTCCACTGAGCCCGCGTTCGGGGAACCGTCTGAAACATTTTCTTCTGTTCTGTTGGCTCTTTTGTTTTGAGGAGAGGAATCTAAGGGCAAGAGGGAATTTTAAAAAGAACACACACAAACAATCTTTATTAGAAAAAAACAATGGCTGACAGAAGTTGGCACAATAGTCAAGGGATGAAAAACCCACCACCTCCACCCACATCCCTGGATCCGTCATCCCCAGTGGCCTTTGGGGGCACAAAATGAAGTTGTTTTCACGTAACAGAAAGTGCATTCTACACCCCAAAGCTCGCTCTTCACAGCGAAGGGAGAGGCCGCGGATAAACATCCCTACGTTGTCACATACCTAGCCCTGGCCAGCCGGCGGGGGGACTGCGGTGGTTTCACTTAGAGAAATTATCAGATAAGACAATCTCAGGCTTCTGACTTAATCGTAAACAGACCAGCAGTCAGCTACATAGCATTTAAGACCTAACATTAGGAAAGTTCGTTGCCCAAAAGCGACATCAGAACGCGCTGAAAAGAAAGTTGAGGTGAAGACCCTCGAGCAGGCCAAGCGGCGCCCCGGACAGACAGACAGACAGACAGACGTCGTACGCGTCTGAAGGGTCCTTACCGTCTGCTGCAGGTCGCTTCCTGATCCCAGTGCACGGCTCCGCTAAGCCCGTGGGGCTGTCCGACGTATCAGTCTTTGGGTCTACCAAATGCGTGTCCTCTGAGTTTGCCTGAGACCCAATTAAAGGCACCGCCTGGCGGTTCGCGCTGGCATCCTGGCTCTCCTGCGCCGGCACCTTGCAGGCGCCTTTGGGTGGCCGCGGGGGTCTGTAGTAGAACTCGGGCAAGCTGCCCTTTTCCACCTCCTGCCACTCGTATTTGCCCTCCAGGGGCTTGTGATTCTGGAAATCAAAATTCCACTTGCGCTGGCTGGCCTCTTCCATGTCTCGGCAGTGCTTCTCCAAGTCCCGGGTTAACTCTTCGTGATTCACCGGACCGAAGAGGTTTCTGCAGGCGGACGGCTTGGGGTACTCCGCCTGTCTGGCGTCCATCCGCTCCAGGCTCGGGCTCCCGTTGGACACTCGCACGTTTGACATCTTCCTCCCGGGTTTGGACGACCGCGTCGCTCGCGCTCTCGGGAAACAAAACCGAACAAAACAAGACGCCCCGACCCAGCCCGAACCCCTCTTATAAGCCCTGCGACTGCGCTCGGAGCCAAGAGAAACAAACAGCCCGGGCGAGCGCCGAGCGTCAGGAGCGCGCCGGGCTGGGGGAGGGGGCGAGGGGAAGCCCCGGCCAGGCAGCCGCGAGTCGCCGCCGCTCAAGTGTCCCGGCGAGCGGGAGGGCGGGGAGGGGAGGGGAGCGGAGCGGAGCGGAGGGGGCGGCAGAGCCAGTCCAAGTCCGGGCCGGTGCAAGCCCGCGGGTCCCGCGCCCCGAGCGGCTCTCCAAACCTTGCCGGCGTCCGAGTCGTGGAGCGGCGAGGAAGTGGGGAGAAGGGAGGGGGAGAGAAACACCCCGAAAAGACGAGCCCCCTTTTTTTAGTGGCCCAATATGGCGGTTGAAGGGAGGCTGACGAAGAAGAAAATGATTGACACCGCAAGTCTATTTAAACAGAGGAGGAGATCCATTGGTCGCGGCGCCGGGAGCCGCGCCCCGACGAGGCTGGCGAGCGCGGCCTTAAGGTGGCCCCGGCGCGGTTCGGCCGCTCCCCGCCTCCCCGCGCGCCGCCGAGAGCGCCGGCCGGAGATTGGCTGGTCGCGTGATTGCTGGAGGTGCAGCGCTGCCAACAAACCTGCTCTGGCTGCCCTCGGAGAAATGAAAAATAAGACAAACAAACTAGCCAAACGGCCGGGAAGCTGGGGAGGGGCCTGGGCGGCGCGGCCGGCGGGGCCTTGGGTTCTAGTCCCGGCGCTGCGCTGCCCGGCGCGCGGCCGCCCCGAAGCCCCGACCTCCCGCTCCTGGTCCGGGAAACGAAGGGGCTGGACCCGCTGATCCCGAAGGTGGCTGGCAGCTCGGTTTGCGCCTCGGTTTTCCCCGCGCTCGCCGAGCAGGGAGTGCGGGCAGACGGTGGGAGACCTGCCCCCAGCTGGGCTCTCAGCCGTGGCCCCAACCTGTGGCACCGCGGGGGAGCCCGAGAACATTCGCTGAGGGGCTGGGGGCCCCCCGCCTGGGTGCCTTGGCTGGGGATGAGCAGTGTTGGGCTCACCCTTGACCTAGAAGTCTCCGCTGTTCTAGGGGAGGCAGGGGGCTTCGGGAATAAGCCAAGGCGAACGTCTTTCTATAAATTAGCCTGGAGTAGGCGCAGCATTTATAATGTATTCTGAACCCAAGCTCTCCCTCAATAAAAATGAGACAGGATTTCAAGATCAAAACTTGGTCTCCTAAGTCCCCAATAAACTTTGTAAATGTGTCACACACATTTAGTTTTCAAAAGCGAGGTTACACCCCTGGCCCAGCTTCTTGCTTCCCAAGCACAGTTAAGGCCATTGCCATGGGCTGCGAGTGGGAACTCGTCTCCTCTTTTGTATTTTTCAATTCTTTCCCGGGTTGTAGCAGTTTCCTCTACCTGAGTCCTGCCGCCAAAGACAACAGCTCCTTCCTTCCTCTACCCTTCTCTCCCCCCATCATCGCTGCTTTAAACCCACCCAGAACGACGTTCAGAGGCAAGCGAATGCTTTTAGAGGGCTGCAAGTCGTCGAAGGGTGAAAACAATCTGAAACTCCAGATTATGAAGTGATTTATAAAACCACCACAACCAGGTCCTCACGTCTGATATTATTATTTGGGCATTTCTCTGCTCCCCTTTGCATCTTGAAATTTAGCTATCACTGTAATCTTGAGCACGGGGTGGTGGAAGTGAAAACAGGATGGTCAGGGCTCAAAGGGTCTTTAACTGCCTCCTCACCCCCACCCCCCAATACATATAATCTTGGTTTGGGCCAAAGTTAATACATTTTACTGGGAACCGATCTCCTGCGGTTCTAATAGTACACAGCAGCGATGTTTTCTTGTGCATCTGTGTTACAGATGACTTCGATTTTTAACTTGTTTTCCTCATCACATGTTGTTTGTCTACTTTGGGTGCCTGCCTCACCTCATACACTCCAGAAGGTAAGAGCTGGGAGGGGCCCTGGGAACCCTGTAGTTCAACCCTCTCTTTGGACCACTGAGGAAACTGAGACACATCTCCAGTTGGTAGCAGAGCCAGGACTAGAGGCAGGTCTCCTAACTCTCAGGTGGGTTCATCTTCTGTTCCTTTCTTTGCTGATGGCCCCAGTGGGTTCAGGTTTTTGCCTGGATTCACTTGTGCTGTTGTCTGCAGGTCCTCTCTTATAAGTGATTCAAAATGGCTCCTTCTCCTGCCCTAAGCTGCCTGCACATGTCTCCTTCATGTGGCCTGTGGTCACTGATGTTTAAATGCAGCTGTCACTGGCCTTTGGTATCACTATGCGGTAGTTCAACTAAAATGAAGATTCCAGAAGGAAGGGGTGACAGCTAGACAGCAGTGAGGGAGGCAGTGCCCAAAACTCGTTTCAAAGTCAGGACTTCCTACCTGACTGACAGAAAATATTTTACCTGGGATCAAAGTAAGAGGTCTCATCTTCTTTATTTTTCTACATTTAATGCCCTACTTAATTTACTGGATTGGAGAAGACAGGGAGAGGGTGAGGAAAATGAGGGTAGGCCTCAATACCATAATTAATACACTATTCCTGAAATTAGATCACTGTTGAAATTTGTACACAATTGCTAGACTACACAGGAATTCCATATTATATATAAGCATAAATTCACAGGCACAAATACACAAACAACCACGTGTATGTAAATGGAGCTATTCTAGAGTATTACACCTTGCCACAAAAGTTTGACTTTATTCATGGGATCAATATCTTACATAAAAGTAGGAAATTAATACTTTTATCCCCTACACGCCCAGAATCTTTCCACAGCTGATATGTAGGAGCACCATTTTGTTGCTTTGTATCTCGAAAAGTGAACGAGTCACAGTCACGCCACCTTAAGACGTCTGGCTGCCAGCTGAAAGGCTGTGCTTACATCGACCTTGCTATGATCTAAAGTGTTTTGTTTACAGTCAAGGCACCGGAGATCTGTACGGCAAATAATGAGATGGCAGGCGTCTGCTGTAGTGGCAACGAAGCGTGAAAAAAATACTATGGAGTCCCCGAGGGAAGAGGGAACGTGGAGATCAGAGCGCCATCCTCCTGCGGAAAGTAGGCGGCTGCAAAACAGTAAGCCAGGGAGAAAAATTTCAGATAAACAGTGTGAAGGCGGAGCTTGGGTAGAAGACAGAAAGTTCCACTCGCGCGGATCTAAAATGGGCTCTGCTTCTCCAAGACCCAGACTCTAGTCCTGGGTGATGTTTTCCTTGTCATTTTCACTCCTAGTAGTTTCCTGCTGAGAGTTGAGAAGTGCCACATAAGAAGCCCGAGGTTTCTGTGTCCTTCACAAGCTGAGGAGAGGAGCAAAGAGCAAAATAACTTAAAACACCTGTGTGGTAGACAAGTGTCCCAACGGAGTGGCTAGGCAAACCTGCCCCCCAGATGCAATGGCGGAGCGGGGAGTTATGCAGCCCCTAATGTTTCTGCACAGGTACAGACCTCCTTGCCCAGTTGCCCCTCCCACCACAAGCACACAATTTGAATCTTTCCTTGAGGATGTTTATAATGAGGCAGCTTTCTGTCAATTTCACACTTCTCCTAAACCGACATATTTCTAGAGTTTGGAAATTTTACACTCATCTGTTTTTGACATCTTTCATTCAATTTAATAAATATTTATTGAGCACCCTCTATTAATTTGCTTACTCTTTCTTTCAACAAATATTTATTGAGTGTCTTCGATATGCCAGGCATTATTCCAGGCTCTGGGGATTCAGAAGTAAACATTTCAACTAGGAAGAAACTTACATTCCAGTGGGGAGAGGGGAGACAGAAACTAAACACTGTAATACATGAGTAAAAGATATACTATGTAAGGAGGTGATACATGCTATGGAGAAACAACAAGATGGGGAGAGGGAAAGAGAGTGTTTCCAGGTCCCAATGTCAACAGAGTGGTCAGGGAAAGCCCCGCTGAGAAAGCAGCCTTGGAGGGAAGCCCTGAGGACTTGAGAAAGCAAGCCATATGGATATCTGGGGAAAGAGTGTCCCAATGAAGGGAACAGCAAATTCAAAAGCTCTGAAGTGAGATCTTTTCTGATGGATTCAAGGAACAGCAAGGAGCAAGGGGAGAGTGGGAGCAGGAACATGAGATCATACAAGATGAGGTAGGCCTATGTAGGGTTTTTATCACTGACTGAGTGATATGGGAAGTCACTGGGACACTAGGAGGTGTTGCCCAGTGGAAGTTGTGATCTTACCACGTGTAAGTTATTCCTCAAGGCATTATTCTCTGTGGGGAGTGACAGGATGACTAAGTCACAGTCCCTGCCTTCAGGGGTATACACCCTAGATGGAGAGACAACCACGTGCACAAAAAACCACAGAGGTAGAAAGCAATGCATGGAAGAGCATGGTACAATGATAGAGTACAAAGGAAGGAGAAAGAGGAAGCCTTCAAGGAGGTGATACCTGAGTCAGATCTTGAAGAATGAGAAAAATGTCAAGAAGGTTATAAAGATGTATAGGTAGGGGTGATAACTGGGGGATGGGATCAGACAGGGGCAGGCCATGGATGGCTTGCTAAAAAAAAGATCTGTTTTATTCAGTAAGCAATGGGAACTGATGGGAATTTGGTAAAGAGAAGAACATGATCACTGTCCAAACTTGTCTCCTGAACAAGAGCAAGCCTGGGCCCTGAGAGACAGTGTCTAGAGACACAGCTAAATGGAAAGCTGGGTTAGACAGTCCCATTATGGTGTTAATCCAAAGGGAGCTGGTTGTTGGGCAGAGCACAGGTGTGAGTCAAGAGGGTGAAGCACAGGCCATGAGACCAGTTGGAGAGGGTTTGGAACAGAGAGTAGGAGACAGTCTGGCGTGATCTCCTGAGCTGCAGAGGCATAGCTGCAAATGCTTTGTCTGTGGTGCTTACAGCTTTGACGGTGAGTGGAGAGGTGACTGCTGAGGGGCCCAAGCTGTCTTCGACAATCAGATCTTTGTGTTCGGAAGTGGCATCTGACAACAGAGTAAAGGATGGACGTGACGAGCCTAGAGAGGCTGACATGGAGGTAATTGTGGAGGCTGACTGCAGTTGCTCAAGCAGGAGATACAACAGCCTTAAGCAGTGCTGCGGAGGAGGGAATGGAAAGCAAAGAATGACTGTGGGATTGCTTAGGCAGTCAGCACAGATAAGAGAATTGAGAAAGATGGAGAAATGAAGGATGACTTAAGGACTCAAGCTGGGGTATTTGAGAGAATAATGCCATTAACTGGGAGAGGTCACACAGAGGGAGAATGTAACAGAGGCTGCTAGCTGTCCACCAAAATCCATTCTTGCCTTCTTCCTTAGTAGGAGAATTATGACTGGGCATACAGCTGCCCAGCTACACTGCATTTCCCAGCCTCCTTTGCCGTTATATGTGGCCTGTGGTTAGATATTTTCCAACAGAATGTAAACAAAAGTGATACGCATCTTCCAGGCCTAATGCATAAAACCTGTCACATGACCCCCCTACTGCTGCCTCTCCCTTTTCCCCTTCCCATGGGCTGCACAGGTAAATACTACTGCAACCTTGGAAGACACATGTTGAAGATGATAGAGCCACCATCAACCTGCGTCCTGACCTGACCTGAGAGAAAAAGTAAATTTCTATTTTGTTGAACCATTACATTGGGGATCCATTTGTTATACCATTTTACAGTCAATCCTAACTAATACAGAGGGAAAAGTTTGGGAGAGAGGGACTAGAGAATATGGAGAATTTGGTTTGATATAGTCAGTCTACACATTGAAATTAATTGGATCACCAAGAAAAGTAAGAACGAGAAGTTATGTTCCTTAAGAGGGCAACAGAGACAATATTGGAGACGTGACCCTGACACAGAATGTGAAGGATGGCATGGTTAGTGGGGCTCTCTGAGACCCGTCCATATTCACAAATGCACATTAATCATATGGCCAGCTCAATACTGAGTAGATTAAAGATGACAAAGATATGAGAATAAGGATGCATGTGACGGTCTCAATACTTTTAGGTCACACTTGAGGTGTATAACACTCGTTTCTTCCCTGTCCCACTCTCCCTTCTCAGAGAGGCTGCTCCCTTAGCCTCTTCTGCTGAGGGACAGCAGATTATACGGTGCTGTTCCCATTCCCTTCCTGAAGGTGGCCAGATAAGGGGAGAGGAGCTGTCTGACCTAAACTTGGCCAACCAAACTCTCTCTCCTGAAGATTTGGAACCAGGTCTCAGAAACTTCAACTAATAAATTATAAATTAGAGGTTAATAAGGTAATGTAGATTTGGCATTGAAAGAACTGTTTTAAGAAAGCTATCTTCAGTCCACAAGTGATGGAGATGTAGATAAAGACTGTCTGTAAAGTTCAGAAGAAAGAAAAGGACATGCAAAGAGGGGCAGAGAAGAGAGACTATGGATTTTAGAAAGATAGCCCTGAGTAACCAAAGACTCCCCTGTTTCTGGATCCTGCAGCTCATGAGGTCCCACACCCCGGACTTAAGTTCTGTGGGACAGCCCTGTGTTTATAGAACAATTTCCCCCATTTTGTTCCAAGCTAGTTTGTTATGGGTTTCTGTTAGTTGACCCAAGACATCCCTGATGAACACAGTACATTACATATTCGAAAGCATCTTCTCTGGTGTCGTCTCACTTGACCCTCATTAAGACCACAGTTGTGAGACAAATGCTATTATCCTCTCTTGCAGATAAGGCCCTGAGATAGAGAAGGCTGAGTGTTGCAAAGCCACAAAAGAGAGTAGTGAAGGCACTAGGATTAGCGTGCCTGAAATTCTGAAGCTGAGTCCAGAATCCATTGCGACGACTCATGTAGAAGATGCAGTAATTTGGTGGGTTTGTAAATTTTATCATGGAGGCTTCATTAGCTTAACTTACCCACAATGCACTATTTATAAAAAGAAGTTCTGGGAAAAATGAGATTCAAATTCCTAGAGAGGAAAATAGCATCTTTGAAAGAAACTGGATTCAAGAAGTGTTTAAAACTGATCTGGTGGGGCCAGATTTTAAAGAAAAAAATGCATCAGACATTTTTACTTAGAGAAAAATCTTCACTTTCAAATAAAATGTAGTAAGGAAATGCAAGTTTACTAGTATTGCTGGTTTCATAAAAATGGGAAACAAATAGCAAAACCCAGATCCACGACCACACCATGTACATCATTTAATTTCCATGATTGAAACATAAGTAGAAAACTTCTGTGACTAGAATATGGAATTTGGAACAATAATTCACCATTTTCTTTCTTTTCCTTTTTTTCGAGGATTGGCACCTGAGCTAACAACTTGCTGCCAATCTTTTTTTTTGTTTCTGCTTTTTCTCCCCAAACCCCCCCAGTACACAGTTGTATATTTCAGTTGTGGGTCCTTCTAGTTGTGGTATGTGGGACACTGCCTCAGCATGGCCTTGCGAGTGGTGCCATGTCCACACCCAGAATCCGAACCAAGGGAACCCTGGCCTGCAGAAGCAGAGCGTGCAAACTTAACCACTCGGACACAGGGTTGGCCCCTTCTTTTTTTTTTTTTCCTTCTTCTCCCCAAAGTCCCCCAGTACATAGTTGTACATTCTAGTTGGGAGTGCCTCTGGTTGTGCTATGTGGGATGCCACCTCAGCGTGGCCTGATGAGTGCTGCCCTGTCTGCGCCCAGGATCTGAACTGGCGAAACCCTGGGCCCCCAAAGTGGAGCACGTGAACTTAACCACTCGCCATGGGGCTGGCCCCAGTTCACCATTTTCAACTACATTCTATTCTTTATACTGAGAAGACATGAAGGAGAAAAATTCCCTTGATTATGATCTTATTCTTTAGTTTATGCAAACTTTCACCTAAAAAAAATTGAAAGGAGCTCATTTTCTGCTCCTGACCACTCTCTGAATAATTGTTCACATGAATATATTTGTTCATTTCTTCATTCATTAAATTCTTAATGAGCCCTTACCAGATGCCAAACTCTCTGGGGACACAGCAGAAAACAAAGATAGCCAAAGTCCTGGTTTCATGGAATGGAGCTCACACTCAAATGTGGAAGGCAAACAATACACAAATAAATAAGCAGAGTATGTCATGTTCTTATAAATGCTAAAAAGAAAAATAACCTAGTTAAGGGTACAGAGGGTAAAAAGGCATACACTATGATAACAGCGAAGGACTCTTTGATAAAGTGACATTTGAATAGAGACCTGACTGAAATGAGGACATGAGCTATGTAATTTTCTATGTTCCAGGCAGAGGAAATAGCAAATGCAAGGGCCCTGAGGTAGGAATGTGCCTGGGACGGCTGAAGAACAATCAGGGAACTAATAAGCCAGAAATAAAGTAAGTAGGGGCTGGGAGGTAGGAGATGAAAGCAGAGAGAAAATAGGGGCCCAGATCAATGTATAGGTACGAGCCATGG